TAAACAATTTAAAACTAAATGAAGAATAATTCTGCCAAATTTCGTTAAAATCCGTCGAGTAGTTTTTGTTTCCATAACGAATATACAGACAGACAGATAAAAATTTTACTGATTGCATTTTTGGTATCAGTAGCGACCCCTAACCACAACTTGAAAATTATTTTTTAAATATATTTTATGTACAGAATTGATCTCTCTACAGATTTATTATAAGTATAGATTAACACATAAAAAGTTCAAATAAACTATAAAGAGAAGGAGAATAGGAAGAGAGTAACATAAAATATAATCAGCGAATAAAGATTTAAAATATTGGGACGCGAATAGTACAGCTGCTAATTACCGCTACCGGTCTCGGGCATATAGCATTCTCGGGCGATAGGCCGGGCCGTTTTGACCTTTGGTTGCTGAGCGGTCAAACACAGCGCAACCAAAGTTTTTACAATAAATTATATGTAAAAGTCAATAGACGCGTTGAGTGTGTATCCAATGCACAGCTATGAGGTATTAAAATAATATTTGAATATATTTTTTTATAAGTAAATAATTGTAACTGTTTATATTTATTGTATCGATATTCATGGTATATGTAAATGAAAAAATATATGTAGGTAGATAAATAAATAAATAAAATAATTAATATATCAGTATCCTCATTCACCAAGATAATGCTTCAGCGCACTCCGTAAATCGCACTGTTGAATTTTTGACTATGTCGTGTCGAGAAAATGAGTCATCCCTCACACAATAAGCCGTTTTCGATTTTTCTAAACACTTTCATTGTTATCTAGGTCTTATAGAACAGGTTCTTACGTTTACTCGAAGCTGGCTGGCTAAGTTTAGAAACTTGCTTATTTTTTAAGAAACGATGGTATGTTTTAAAACACAATGAGTGATTTTAATAATAAGTATCTATTAGGAGAGACGAAACCTCTTAACATCCAATGGATTCACTGTGCAGGTGCCGGGTAAATCGCGTTGCAGGGAGAGGACTTTAACAGTGCCTGGGACTTCCGACCCAGGTGTAGGTTTAAGGGGCCCCTATCTAACGCCAAGTACCCAACTCGAAAAAACGTAATAGGAGCAAAACTACTATTATCTTTTTATTTACAGTTTTCTACAATCGCGAAATAAAGATTCAACAGGATGAGCTCGGTATTCGTTACGTAATTTTGGTGATGGTAAGATATTAAATTTTTTGATATTCTGTAAGTTCATAATTTCGTTTCAATTTTTGGTAGTAAACGAATAAATGGTACGCAGTGCCTAATAAAGCGAGATTAGTATTTGCCGTGGCAAAGACTCGTGAGTCTTATACAAATTTGGACTCCGCTATCTTAGGTTCTCTCATATTAGCAAAGCATAATAACTATTTCAATACAAAATTATAAGTTAACAAGAAATAAATATATATGTATATATTTTATTTGTCCGCTCCTTTTATGGGTTTAAGATAAATAAAAACAATCCATTAATTATTGTTTTACAGGTATTGGGGGTGGTGCTCGACTTTTTTCTTCGTTTTATAATTCCAGCGACAAGTGAGTCACTGGAGGAAACTATTAGAAAAGAAAAGCGCATTAAAGAGAAATATTTAATACGCAAAGGAATTGCTAACTAGTGGAAATGTTAAAGTAATAGTTTTTGGTTAACTAAATTATTTATACTCAAAACTTTGTGGTTATCCGTTATGTAAATGAAGTGTTTCATAAAAATATGTATATTTTGGGATAAATTAAAGATTGAATCTTATATAAGATTATTTCTTCGTTATTACTGTTATTATTTGGTTTTCCGTTTTATTTCAAAGTGTACATGTTTGTCCAATTATTATTCATGCCGCGTATATGAGTTAATAGCATGATAAAAAGTGTAAATACGACTAATCTGACAATTTGTGAGAGACATAAAGAAAGGGGAGGTTATTAAGAAAAATATCAACTCCATATTCTCGAACATTTCTTATTTTTTCTATTTGAAGGAAACATAATAAGGATTATGAGAAATATATAATCTGTAAATTTTCATAAGCCAAAATAACAAAAATTCAATGGCCATTTTTAATGCGTGCAATTACGCTTACAATCTTCAGTCGTTGTTTCTATTTATCTCTACCTTTTACATTCTTAGTCCGTCCTCACCCCCAATGTATAGGTAGTTTCTGCAAATAGCTTCGAATCACATACCCTAAAATTTTTATTTTAAACTGTCTCGTTAGGCGAATGTATTCTGATAATCTTGAGCATGTCTTGGGAATAAAAACTCTTCTTCTACCTGGCAAATTCCCAGCTATAGCCAGAGTCTACCTTACATGTTGTGAATAGTTTTGGTTATTTGTTTTTACGACCGGCTGCCTGCCTGACATCAACCCTCTTTGGGAATCAGCATTAATCAGTGATGTCTAAATAGTCTTAGAAAATACATATGACTAGGAAAAATCACATTGGTACTTGCCCGGGCCAGGATCGCATCCGCTCCCTTGTGAATGAGAATCGGGCCTTTTAACCACTAGGCCACCACTGACTGAAATAAAAACTAAACATTCCTAACCAGGCTTGGGAATAAAAACTAACCATATAATTCTTAAGCTCATACGCTTGAGTAATTGAAATTGGCGATTATTTAGCAAAGTCTAATTATTGCCACCAACTTAGATCACATTCGATCCATCACACTATTGAATGAGGACTTTTTTGAGGTTCACATAACAGCCCCTTATAAAACTGGTCGAGATCTGAATTTTTATTTATATTTTCATTTTCAACCTCTATCCCGATCATCCCCATCATGAAATCAATGAGATTAATACACGCACATTATTTAATAGAGGCGGGACGTGAATACTACTAATATATGACGGGCTCGAGCGTGACCACGGTACATTTTTTTACATTTTCCTTTTTCTTTTCACAGACGAAAAGAAGAAAAATTGGTTGTTTGTAAAGTAGGTTAACGATCGAGATGTTTACGTGATAACGTCTTATTGGTGATATAAGTTATTGGGAAGTAAGAAATTAATGAAGATAACAATTTTTTTAAATTTTAAATTAGGTACATTTGTCGTTTTTTTCACACTTTTGATGATAAATTTCGGGTGTAAAATGACAAGTTAAACATTCTATTAAACATTCAACGAAAATTTAACCGCACGAGAAAATCTCCATTCGTTTGAATGCCGCTAGAGTGAGAGAGACGGAAAATCGGTCCACTCACTAAAACGCTATGCCTGCCTCCACTCGTAAGGATTCCGCATGACAGGTTTCAGGGAATGACTAGAAGCGCTCGAGATGAGACGGGAGATCGGTCCGTCTCTCTCTCGTTATACCTGCGATCGCGCTCGTGAGGTTTTGGTGTGACACAAGTTTCTGAACATGTCACCCGACTAAAACGATTTTAAAGACGTTATCACGTCAAAAACATTTGTTTTTCTTTTTATTATGTTAACTTTGCAATCCAGTAAATCTCCATAATACTTGAGTAAATCTCCATTTAGCACCGTGGCTTTCCCGTTTATAATGAGTATCCTACAAAACATCGGTTGATAATGTTTACCTTTACTCATACGTTTCCTCAATGAATTCAATATCGTAAAGTGAAATAAAACAACGTATACGTAAACGTCACAGCAGTAAAGGTAACGCGAGATTTCGATGCCCCTCAATACTCAATAACCTAAGGCACTCAAGTTATGCCAAGCTATGCCTATGCTACGGCTTTCATCAATTCAAAATTAATGAACGAATAATGTTAACGATGTAATTGTTATTAAAATAAGAATTCAATAAATAAGTTCAGTCGAACTAAAAGATACTTCTTTAACTTATTAACAAAAAAGGTACATATGTACTAATTACCTTTTATAATCACTTTGAAACGAAACTATTCACAAACAATAAATAATCTCACAGAGCTATCAAAGAATTTCCTTACACGAAGATCAAAGTTATGATTGCATGTTGTTCAACATTGAAATGTAGAAATTTAATTGTTATAATTATATTTACTGATTGTAAAGTTTGGTGAATTTCTTTTTATTTATACTTCTTATGTCTATAAAGATTTATCGTCAAAGAAGTATATAACCATCTTACTTTAAATAAAAAATTTAAATAAATGTTCTAATTCACACTGACACTGTTATTTCTTGTCAATTTTGTTGATTTTTCTTTATATGCTTATATATTTATTATTATATTTTAGAATATTGGTTTTATGTAATAATGGAGCAAGGGGATCTCAAAAAACTGGTTTTTATATATATTTTTTTAAATCACCTTCCACTATACATAGTTACAGTTCACACAGTCATAGCTAAGTATAACGATTTTATGGTTTCACTTTCATGTAAAAAAGTTCTTATGTAAAAGGTTGTTGTAAAGTAAATTGTAGCCGAAATATTAGGCAAAACGTAATACAGTATAATGTAATCGCAAAGTAGGTATATCTGAGAACCCTGGTTTTGTTCCTAGCTTAACCACCAGCAGTATGTACATATTATTGATATGAATAAAATTTTAACTATGTACTTGTCAATAGGACGATACGTATAAATAAATAGGCTCTAGAATATAGATCGAGGCTTTTTTAATCATTTTTCATTTTGTTTACTTTTAAGTGTTATACGATAAGAACAGACTCTTAAAGCATGTTAGGTAGCATTCATTTCTGTAAAGAGTACATTTAAGCATTTTTGAAATAACTGATTTTAAGTGTGATTCTGTTTACCGTCGGTAGTCTTCATGCAGGCTCATATATGTATTACAATAACGGGTTAAAAAAATAATCCATCACTAATTGTTTATCCAATTCCTATATTGTGGAAGTGAAAAAATTCGGATAGATGTAGGTTAAACATATATGTACATATAATAATGTTTCTGGTGAAAGTTAACGCAACGTAAGTGACCCAACCGCCAAACTTTTTTGAATATATGAAGTATAAAAGATAGGTATGTAAAAATTTATATCAATTTATTAATGTTCAGAATATTTTCTTTTAGTCAGAAGAAACCACAATTGCAAAAGTGGGAAAAGATAATTTTTCATCCTTAACTGGATATTTAAATGACAGCAACAAAAGGATTGATATAGTTTTAGTCTTTAAAGATGATGGTAAGGATGAGAAGAAACAAATGCGTTTAAATTTTTTAATGAATGCTCTTCAAGTAGGTTTAGAAGCTGAAGTGGAATCAGGAAAGGTGAAAAAATAAGTATATTGTTATGTTGTTTCCAATATTTAATCACCTAATCAAAGCAAATGTTGTTTTAGATGGCCGAACATCGAAATTTAGTTTTCGTTAAACTTCATGCTCCCGATGAGATTATTGAACAATACGGATTGTATTTCAACGAAAAACGATTTTTTAAGGATAGTCATCTAGAGTTTATTAATCCTATATTCAACATTTTTGGCACGAAACATGAAAGGGAGCTCCTTAAAATAGTTAGGTAAGTAAAAAGACTAAACAGGCGCTAAGCCTATAGTGATGTCAGGTCAAAGGATACGAGACAGAGGAAAATCATGCCACTGGAATTATTAAGGTTGCAGATACTATCGGTAATTATTGTTTTTTACAAAATTACTCTGTATTAAGGTAATATGAAGATTTTAATTATTTATTAGAAAAAGGTAAGTACCCTTACTTATCCTTATAGAAGTCTATAAAACTGTAGTTTTTACTCTGATATAATATGCACCTGTTAAATTATTGCATAAACTCTTCCTTGTAACTATCTTTATGATATCGTTGTTGTACAGTAAACTATTTTTGTGGACTCAAACTTTGCAAAGTTTTTTTTACGTACAAAATATATTCTTTTACTAATTAACTCTTTCTACATAATAAAAGTCTAAGTTAATGGTATTATTAATGTCAGAACTCACTATCCCGGACCAGACAATTACTCGACATTGGAACGCAGCACCATTGTTTATAAATTATTACTTGAGCTGCCATTCGGTGATAATATGAATCATTACGGAATAAATAAGTAAGTATGTACCATAATTAGTTTTGGAGATTGTCACGTATCATGGTTTGATTAGTTTCTTAGGATATTAGTTATAGTAAAGGATCTCTATATAGAACGACCTTTACCAAGATGCATATTTGGTGCAACGTATTACATATTCAATTTAATATGTCAATAATTACATATATTGCATATGGCTTATCTAATAAATGTCACCATCACTCTCACCACCTGTCCGAAATATTCTCTCGTTGCAATATTTCACTTTTCGAAATTCAACAAATGTAAGTCCTGAAGACTGATTTTTCGCAGGCAACCCTTTACAAACGTTTTCATTATAAAATAATAATTAGACCGAGGTAAAATGTTACTATCAATTTACCTGTATATACCTGGCAATCCGAGAGTTGTGACTGGAAAAGAAAAGGCAACCTTACGTTTGCATATTCTATGGGCTTATTACTTTCGATTGCTATGGAAATTCTTTAATACTCAAACCGGAGAAATATTTAAAAACATCTTTTTATCTATTAATTTAATATAATTATTGACTTATTAAATTGAATATAAAATATGTTTCATCAAATAAGCATATCGGTGAAGATGGTTTTATATCGTTATTTTTTATTTATTTTATTTGGGAAACAATCAATTTAGAAACACTGTAATATATATATAAAAAACATAAACCAATAATGTCTCCATTTAAAGCTAATACACAAAAAAAAACAAATTAAATGAAATGAAATGAAATGAAAATTGAAAGTAAACAAAAACAAAAGAGTTAAAAACATTTAGCATTTAAAATATCCCGAACTGCTCCTTTATAAATACTAATTTTTGGGAAAAATTATCTACGTTTTCGAAGTGATCTTAGACTATTACGTGCGTTAGTAAAGTGCTTGCGAAGCCGACAATATAAATTCACTCTCTTTTCAGATTAATACAAAAAAACTTATTTCTGGACGTATTTGCTCTTCACGACGGTCCATATTTTATAAAACAAAAATCTGAGTTGCTCCAAACAAATTTACGACAGGTAAGGTACTACAGTGTAGGTATATATATAATTATTATTATTGAATCTTCCGAAACCTGATTTTTCTACTGTTATGAATGAAAATCTCGACGTAAGTATTAGTATTAATATAATTTATTGCTCTTTTTTTTGGACATGGACAAATGAAACAATTTAATACTTTTTATATTATTGAACATTGGAACTATGTTAAAAGAATTCTCAGGTACTTAAAGAAAATTAATATGTATTGTTCAAAGTTTAGTCGTCAAGGTGAGAGCTTACATGTTATGTAGATGTTGATTGGGCGAGTGACAGCTTAGACAGAAAGTCTTACAGTGGATTTCGTTTTGTCATAAAAGATCAAAACTAAAAATATTAAAAATAATTTTGTTACTTAGACTATCAAGAGTGGAATAGTAGAGGTAAATTATTTATCCACAAATAAAATGCCAGCAGATTTGCTGTCCAAAGGGCAGGTACAGTTAAACATCACAAGTTTATGGAAAAATTAGGCATTTAAAAACTGTAACTCAATTCCATTTTTTTTGTAGTTTTTGTTTAATTAATTTTGATAAGGAGGGGTGTTGCGGTTGATTTTGTCAAAATACATAAATATGTTACTAGCAACATCCATTGTGATTGGCTTTTATTTAAATGCTTTGCTAGTTTTTTTTTTCGATGTCAACATTGTGTTGCTGTAATCTTATTTATCGGTTTTTACTTTCCCTATTTGAAAAATCTTATTCCCAATATCGTTTCTCAGTGCATTTTAAGAAAAGACGACGACGATGATGATGGTTATGATTTGATGGTAGCTTTCTATATTGTTTGATTTGTCCATGTCCAAAAAATGGATGGGTCAAATGAACCACCAGGTGACATATATAGGACGATATAAGAGCATAAAATAATAAGATTCAGCTCTATGCCGTCACTTGTAAGCTGTCCAATTGAGTGCTGGTAAGAATTCAAAAGCGCAGGTAAAGTGAGTACCTTTTGGGTCATATATTTTTGTACGGCCTTTTTACCATCGGTAAATCCATGAAAAATAATAAGAACCAGAAATAACAGTGCCGTAAAAAATGATGCGCCACAAAGTATTTTATGCGTAGATAATATTTTTTACATCCGTGCATTTTCGTTGGTCCAAAGGTATTTTCAATTCTTGGATATTATATTAGTCTGAACTGCGAGCCGAGTTTTGTGGGTCACTGCATGCCGATGAAACACGCTCATTAACTCAAAACTAATTTCGGCTCATGCAGGACAGGTCATTGTACACATAAAAATTTTGGTAGAGGAAAGGAAAGGGCAACCGCCTCTCACCTTTTGGATGAAACACAGCCATTAAAACTTACTTTTGGCGGATCTTCTGTAAGGGAGTGTTACTTCCCCGGTCAAACCAGCCCATGTTCGAGCTGAAGTTACTTGACCACTGCTACCACTTTCTTTCTCACCTCACCACCACCTCAAGCAAGCATTAGGTTTTATTTTACAATTATCTTACATTACATAAGTGTAAATTGTAAGATTCATTTTAAGTCATATTGGTTTAGTGACTTCTGGTTTTCTTCGGCCTCCTGCTTACATATGTATAGCTAGCGTCACTTGTTTCTAACTGTATATTCCTTTTTTCTAGATTTTGTTTTACAAATGGTTAGGACTAATAAATATATGGAAGACGCAACCAATTCATATGATACACGAGTATTTTGGAAACAGGGTAAGAAAATTATAATGTTAATAGACATTGCTTTCAAAAATGTTAATATAAAAAGACAGACCTTTAATTAATCTTGTTTTTTATTACAACTTCAATTATTTTAGGTTGCTCAATACATGGCGTTTTATGAATATTTCAACATTATGCTTATTATACTTGTCCTATTTAGTTTTGTGACCACGTTTCGACTGTACTTGAATCGAGAAACCTTTGAATCAAATATTATGTTAGTATTCGAATGTGTATACATCTATGTATAAATATAAAAATGAATTGCTGTTCGTTAGTCTCACTAAAATTCGAGAACGGCTAAACGGATTTATCTTATCTTAGTCTTGAAATGTTTGTGGAGGTTCAGGGAAAGTGTAAAAGCTGAAAAAATTGATTCATTTCCGTGAAAACCTTAAAAACAGCCCTTTTGTGTTTCCGATACCAACGTTTTCTTTGACAATAGATTCAATAACTAACTAATATGTCAATCATTCTGTTGAACTTAAGAACACAGAGATTTATGACTTACCTATAGGTAAACTCTAAAAATGTAACTAAAATTTTATTTATTTATTGATTGAGGCAGTGCGAAGTCTGTCGGGACAGCTAGAGTTATAATAAAAATGAACCTATGAAGGGGAAAGTGTTATACCTTTGGTACCGTCTTATTTTTTTTTGAGATAGTACAATAAAAATAGATGGTAAATCCAGAGAATACAATATTTAAAAAAATCTTATTACATTTTGTTTTTAGAAAATGGTTTAGCCTTTTTTCAGTTTTCCAATATTATCCAACCCCAATTCTAAACGGAAACATTCAAGTATGAACCAATATATATACAACGTGTAACGTTATTAACGCACACCCTCAAATATCCCAATTAGAATATAATAATATAAACGCAATGAGATTATTTAGACACCACTGACATACGGTGAAGGAAAACATCGTGAGGAAACCTGGACTTATAGTTTCACAATTATAAGTTTGAAATCACCAACCCGTCTTGAGCAAGCGTGGTGATTAATGCTCAAACCTTCTCCATGTGAGAAGAGGCTATGCTCAGCAGTGGGCGTTCATAGGCTGATGACAAACGCAATGTATACCCCAAATATTATTTATATGTGCGTTAGCATTTTTTATTTGTGAAATTAGTTATCCCAATTTCGTGCAAATAATATGGTCAGCTATTCACCAACACTCCGCTGCACACGCACACACAGACACACACAATGTACTCGCCGCGTCCGTGCCCCTCTCTCCGAGTGCCGTCCGACAATAATAAGAAGTAGGTAATAATAAGTATACGAAATAACTACATTATGATTTATGATTCTTCTTTCCATCACACTTTTCAGGCTTAAGATTGTCGACATTGAATTTTTTTTAATGTGAAGCCAATATTTTATAATTACTGATTTGTTAAATTTAATTTGTAAATAAGAATTATTAAACAGCTGATAACGCGTGATTTGATTAGACACCACAATACCTACGACAAATTCGGCGTGTTTAAATGGTGTGAATCAAAATATTAACAATAATTTAAAGATCATAAACAAACTTATAGTTTAAAATATCCACCGCCTTGTTCAATGCACTTTAATGACCGTTTTCGCAATTGTGGTTTTATTTTAGATAATACTGCAGTGTCACTTTTCACTTATACAAAGGCGGTCATTATCTTGTTTTTTAGTTCCTTGACACTTGTTGTCTGTGTTATAAACTAACGATTTAATTCGTCCCCACAAAAAAAAAGTCCAGTGGAATCAAATCAGCTGATCTAGGAGGTCAATGAACACGTGCGTAGGTATTTGATGTGTGCCGACTGCCGCTGTTGGTGTTGCGTGCGTAGGATGACTGTAATTTACTTAGTTCTATCTAAATTTGAGAAAAAAATGACCTACATAAAAAACTATAAAAATCGATCCAGATACCGATTCTGAACAAACTACCTTCAGGGTGTGTGTTAATTATGTTACACGTTGTATATATTATATATATATATATATATATATATATATATATATATATATATATGGGTGCACTTCTTTTTTCTTATTATTTTTATTACTTTAAAACTAAGTATCTCTTCAAGGGCTGTTTCATATCAAGCAAATGTTGACGTATCATATGTACAGTCTTCGGAAGTCACGCTTCACTTTCATTAAAATATTGTGATTTTGGCAAATTTTATATTCCCTTTACGATAAGTTTTGTAACCGTTTCTTGGTCCAACCAAATTAGCTAATCACTTTTAATATTAAGGACATACTGTTTTCATAAGTATTTTTTCATAACAGATGTTCTTTTACCGTTTATTTAATAAAAAAAGTATTTTAAGGTATCTAAAAGTCTTTTAATAAAAAAAAGAATATACCTAATTTATTGACTTAGATGTAATTAAGTCTTTAATATTACTTTTATTACTTTTTAATGTTACATTTCAGGTCAGCAAAGTTTATATGCGACAACATCAAAGATAAGAATATTTGCACTGAGTGCCGAAACGAGACTCTTTGTCCATTACTGTCCGGATCAGCGTATTGCAGAAGAGCACAATTTAGACAAATTATTGACAAGAAATTGACTTTAAATCACGGAATATGTGTCGTGATTTGGGGTAAACTTTGATTATTATGTTATTTTCTGTAACAAACATTTTAAAAAAAGTAAAATATCTGTAAATTGTTCCAGGAATAATTTTTTTAATACCTTTGAGGTATAGGGAAAGATATCTATCTTGGATTTGGGAAGTACCTAAGAAACATATTAATAATCTACTCAGGTAAATATAACCATGTAACGGCTGAATCTATTCTAATTTGTTTTTAACATCGGTCATTACTGCTATTACTTTACTAGACCACAAAGACAATGTATGTAGATATGAAATTGTTTGGGAGTTGAAGTAAAAGATTTTTTAATTCTCACAGGCCTCAACGCTATGAACTGTCGTCTATTGTAGCAATTGGAATAAGAAGTGTTATCAATGTATTAACCGCCGCTCTTGCAATCCTTTGGGTAATGTAAAGTAACAGTACCTCTTCGTGCTTTTTGGCCCAACCAACCCCAATACTTTGTGATTCAGTTTTGAATTGTTGACCTAAATTAATCGAGAAAATAACGTTTACACGAATGTATACTTTTAGGTAATAGTAACCCAGACAAGAGTCCTAGATTCAAGCGTTATGAAATGCGTCTGTCAAAACTATACTCTCGTTAGGCCTATAACGTTAATAGGAATAAGAGTTTATCTTTTAGTGAAATTAATATTTTTCGGATTATACATACTACGTGACTTTGTTTTTGTCAAAAACTATATACTATCGACTTTTCGGCATTCGTGATTACTTAAATTATTAATTTTTTATGTCTTTATAGTATTATAGAGACGTTATCGATACGATTCAAATGTTATAATGATATTTAAAGTTGTTCTCATTTGTCCTTTTTGGTTAATTTATGAAGGCGACGTTATTAATGGCAAATTTAGTAATGGCAAATCATTGAATTTTTCAGACGTATTTTCTGGTTCAGCTTTCGTTAGTTATGTGGTATTACCCTCGTTGGAAACGTTTACAAGAGACTGATGATAGTCGCAAATTGTACAAAGACCACGAATACACGTATATGGCTGAGATGGCTTTTGTACATGCAATCCTTACAATCCTTGTTAAGGAGGTTTGAGATTTTTAATTATATTGTTAGTATGTTTTTTTTCAATATCATGAATTGTCTATTCCACGACCAATTTTACTATCGTGTACTTAAACTACTTTGAAAAAAAAGACCTTTGGTTTTCTATTTGTTTCATAAAAGTACAAAGATATTGTTTGAAATTTTGGAATCTCAAAAAGAACATAGGTACTCATATACAGGGTGACAGGTGAATTACTATCAATATTTAAGGAGCATACTCAGTACATGATTGTCATTCGAATTATGTAAAAAAAATAGGTACTTAATTTTTGACCAAATAATAACCTGTATAAGTAAATAAAGTGTGTACACGTTCCAAGTGTTCCAAGTGTGGACGCGTGCGGCGGCGTGCTGATACAACAACACGCCGCCGCGCGCGAGTGTGTATGTGTGTGTGTATACCTAATCTGTAGGGTGTTCATACGATGCGTAATTAATTACATAACTTTTGGTTAACTTTACTTAGAAGTTTATTAATATTTATGTTATATTAATTTTTATTTTGTCATATATGATCGTCAAATATCACGTCCTCAAATATCGATAGTAATTCACCAGTCACCCTGTATATACCATCGCAGTGTCATAAAAACCAGAAACAAATAAATATTTGTCTCAATTGGTAAAGGCCTGCTAACTATATGTAATTCATAAACACATTCAATGTTATCTACACTTATTGAGTTCGAAGTTATGTGATATTGTAATTAAATAGTTTTTCTTAAATTTAAGGTTTTCATACTACTAGCGTTGATAATGACTGATTTCGAAAATTACAAAACATTTATAAAACATGAGATGTCAATATCAATAAAATTGTTTTTCTTTTGTTTTATGAATTCTTATACAGTCTTGGTAATTTTCTCGCATGTAGGGGTAAGTGGTAAATATATACAAACGTACAATGAATGTTTTTTTTAAACGAGTTATTAAAAATGGTTTATTTTTTATAATTTTTTTTAATTTTTTTAAGTGTTAATACCGATTCTTATTTTAGATTTTTTATAATAAAAAACTAGATAAATTGGATGATTACATGGATCCCTTTGGGAGAATGTCGAACGGTATTTCTTCAACTGTAGATGAAATTTGTCTATCTGTAGTTGTTATGACTATTTTAGAACACGTCATACTACCGCTTGTTGATCTATTTAAAAGGTGAAAAACTAGTATTACTTAACAAAATTGATCCAATGATAAAATAATAACAATCTCCATTTATTTAAATATTACATTATCATTAGTGATAAAAACACAAAAATCTCTATAAATTTATATTGGTTAGAAAAAAGTAAAAAAATTGTGATTCTGAATTTATTGAGAAACCAATGCTTGACTATTCTCCCAAAACTCAACGGTTTTTAAATTTAATTTTTTTTCGACAAAAATATAATAATTAATTTTAATATGATATCAACCAATTACATTTTTTTCTGTATCTTTCTAACTTTTTTAATTGTTTTAGTCGTCAAACGGATTATTCATTTTTTTGCAAAAACGCTCCGTGTTGGGAGAGGGAATACAAACTCAAACCAATAACAGAAAACTTTTTTCATAAAGGATACCATAAACTACGTTTGTATTAGAGATAATTTTATGTGATAAAGTTTCATCTTTCTAATGATTAATAATAAAACTGTCGCTAATTTTAGTGATGCAGTTTGCGCTTCTCACATGTTATTCGATGTTATTTCCTTTGGCGTCGTTATGTATACTTATAATAAATCTTTGGGACTTGAGGTAATCAATTCTTTAAATGTCTGCTTTTTACCATATATAGTTTTTTATAATCTTTAGTGTTAAGGCTACGTAAAACGTAAAGTTATCGTTCGACCCACTACTATGTTTTTTTGGTTTCTAATAACAAAATTTCGTTGAATGAATCCACCCTACGTTATGACAACTTTTAATATTGAATTCGTTGACATTTTTTTTTCAGGAAAACTGCCTACGAGCTGTTATTAACACACCGACGACCTTTACTAATAAACAATTCGGGGCCTGGATTCTGGAAAATATTGTTTTTGATTACTGCTCATATCGCTCCATACTTTAACGTAATATATATATTTTTTTTTAGTTTCTCTTGTCATTAGCTCATGTTTTATTGATCTGTAACGTTTTTGTTATAAATACATAGATGTAGTATTCACATATTCTACAGAAAAATCATACCTAACATTGCCTCAATTTTTTTAAACAAAACATAAAAAAACATATTCAATATATATGTATTTAGATTAATCATAGTTGTAGTCCTTGCCTTTTATTGATAGCCTCTTTGTAACGAAAATAAAATATATCTTTGTTATCTAAGTTTCATAAAACAACACCTTTTAATATTTTTTAAGGAATTTTATAAGCATAGTATGTGGTGTAAAAGTTTGACAAAAGCCTAAGTATATTTATAATAAACGAATGTCAATCACGAAACGTCTGCCAAGTAATTACGATATTTTCAGTGTAAGTATGAGGTACCTACCTAAAAAATTTTCATTCTAAACTATGTTCGCTTATTTCTTAATGTAACTAATAAATACTTAGTAAATTAATGTTAAAGATGAGATATATAACATCAGATACAAACAAATTAATTACGTCGTTAGCTTCTTCTTCGTTCATAAAATAGAAAACAGATCATGAATTAACTTGTGAGGGGGCTAACGAGAACTGAGAGAATCAGGTTAAAAAGACTAACACCTAAATTTTCACAATCTTATATTGTTAGTTAAAATTTAAAATATTTGGGTGTGTTTGGAGAAGCGTCTACAAAAAAAATTATACGCTCCGTCGCCTTATAATTATTTCATTTTGTTTTGTCGTTCTATTTCTTTTAAACGCCGATTATTATAATTAGTTTTAATTACATTATATCCTTTGTTACAGATAACAGTTTTACTATTTCAATCATGGCATTTTGCTACAAATTACATAAATAGAGTGACCCGTAAAAACCGATACAGATCCGGTATTTTTGTAAGTATAACAAATTATGACACAAGTAATAATTTTAAAATTTAGTACAAAATGTAGTCTTCTCTGTATTTGGCTATATAAGATACTAGAAGACCCAGCGAACTTCTTATCGCCCTATAATCAAGAAATATCTGTTACTTTTTTTATTTATAATTTTGGAGTTTAAATGTAAGCCATAAATCTCCGTGTTTTGAAGTGCGACAGAATGATTGACATATTAGTTAGTTGTCAAATCTAATGTCAAAAAAACGTTTGTATGGGAAATAGAAAAGAGCTGGTTTTAGAATTTTCCCGAATGAATCAATTTTTTTCAGCTTTTAAACCTTCCCTGAACCTTCACAAACATTTCAATACTAAGATAAGATAAATCCGTTCAGCCGTTCTCGAGTTATAAGTGGAGTAACTAACACGACTTTCTTTTATATATATAGATACCTTATTTTCAAGCGCGTTATGTAAAAGTAAGATAAGTTTATAACATAAATATTTTCAAAAATGATTACTATTTTCAAGGCAAGAAAAAAATGACAACGAAAGAATTATATAAGCTCAAAAATATCTTTATTATAAGTCCATGTCAGAAAATTTTTATGGTATTTGTTTATTTTAATAATTAGTAATGTGGATTTAAATTTATAAAATTTTATTAAAAGTTACATTTTTTTTTTTATTATTCACAGACTTTGGAATAACAATTAAATTTACCTTAAAATTATTACGAAAAGACTAAAATATTTTAGAATAGTTTCGGGGCATACAGATCTTCAAATTCTACCGAACACCAGTGGCGGGGCAAGACCTAAATTTGATGTGGGCAAGACAGATTTCGCGGGGCCCTATTCTATGGCAACTTGAAGTTCTTACTACCTGCTAGTTTTAAAAACTTAAACATAGATAGGTTTTTTACTCTTAAAGCTTTGGTTTCCTTCAAAAGATATTATAAAGCGTATTTTGTT